CACGACATTCTCACCTAACATGGGCACATCTTTAAAGCTTAGATAGATCAGATCATAAATGCTCTATGTCCTTCCAGTGAGCACAAAGGAATTGTGGTTGGCTAGCTTGAATGCAGGTCTGCCCAAACAGATATAATCCAGGAAACCTAAGGAGACAGCAACAGTATCCATTTACTGTCTTGGAAGGAAATAGATTTTCATATACCTTTTGTCATGCACCAGTTATGTATCTTACAAAATAAACCACATGGGCTTGTCTACAGTCTCTGACCATACACATAATAGATAACAAATTAAGGTAACTCAAGCCACTCTGTTTCTTCCCATTTCTAACCTTCAAGTCCTGGGAATGCTACAATAATATTCTTGCATCTCATGCATAAACCTACTGTAAATTCACCAATTCCTCCTATTTTAAAGAAGAAAATCACTATGCAGGGAACAAACAGTCATGGAGGATGAGTCATATGCTTGTACAGTATTTTGTCTGGACTTCAGAGGAGTAATAGGAATTGTGGATCTTACTGTTGCCCTCAAAGTGGAGAATGGTTTAGTGGTCACAACAGCAATGCTAACAACAAAGATTTGAACCAGTTTTTCTGAATGCTTCACAACTAAGCAGGTGACATATGGATCTGCTCTAGTTAGTTTCCTTCCTTGTAAGTGCAAGAAGCAATATAAAGAAAACAACATACGAGTTTCCATCCTTTGGTTTAAGCTTTTGCTGCATACAATCCAAAGGCAAACACAATAGGCCTTAACAAATTATCAGGCAAAGGTACTGTTCTTAAGGGAAGTGGCAGCAGGCTCTGCTGGCCATACCCACTGCTTCTCAACTGCAAATGAACAGGATTCAACCCTTTTATAAGGGCTATGCCAAAGCTTTGAACATAGTAAACTTCAGGCATTTTTCTATAAAGCAACAGCTACCTAAAATTGAAAATCCCTACTGATAAAAGTTAGAACATCAGCAAGAAGACTTAAGTACCATAAAACGCACAGACACATCTCCTCATATGCGCAGGAGAAAATACTGCCTACAGGACTTAGGAGCAAGAAACTCACTGTATTTTATTAACCACCACCTTCCCAGATCTGTAACAGCTATTTATACACTCCAATCCCTTTGGCAAAGTTGGCTTTAAGGTGTTTTTAACATCTCAACTCAAATTACAAAGTATATATGGATTTCGAACTCCATTTTCACTTCCAACTACTTCAATTCTGTTCTTGCCTGACCTATAACTTATGTTAAAACATATGGCAGTGTATTTGCTAAAAAATCCCTCCAAGATTTATACCCTAAATCAATTCTAAACAGCTTCGGATTTGAGATCAGGAAGGGGGTGGAAGGAGAACCTAAGAGTGCTTTGTTGTTTTTCTGTTGAGGTTTTGGTTTGTTGGGTTTTTTTCTTTTTTTCCTCAGCGAAACTAACTGAAGAAGCCAAAAGTTATTTAGAGTTAGTTTATGAAGTGAAAAGTCTGTAAACTTTCTACTCGAAAGGCAATTTAATCTCAGTTCCAGATACTGACATGCTCAATATACATGAAAAAAACCCCAAAACCATACCTTCATAAAGGTTATTATTAAATACTTTGGAGAAAGATTTAGGAAAAATACTGCACATGCATTCAGTAGGAATCCCCAGTGGTTGTCTCATTTACCTCATTACACACATGCGCGCACACACACAGAGCGTTAATTGCACTCCAAAAGAAAACTGCAGGCACAGACTGCAAGAAATTAGGTGGGTCCTTCCCCTGGTTCCCTCCTCCCAATGGACGCCTACTATTCTTCTAAAAATTCCCCACAGAAAAAGAGACTGCTAATTGTAGCTATCACAAAGTGTTTTTCCATCGTCACAGAAGTTTAATTCCTAAATTTGAGCCAATGCACACGCAGAGGCAGAGACCAAATAGAGGTAGGAGTGATGATGAATCCATGTAGCAATTCACTCTAGCAGGAAAAATTTAAACACACAGCAAGATCATAATCCCATAACTGGCATATCCACATGAAAATCTTGAAAAGCTTATTTTCAGCCTCTTAAAGCTAACTGATGCAACACCTTCCTGAGAACACTGCATAGCCCAGGCATTTGCCACCCATACCACAGAGTTACCACAAAATGCATCAGTTCCCTCTTCAAGACTTGTTCTCTTACATTCTTTCAGGAACAATGTGGGACCTCTTTTTGCCCCACAGAAGTGAGACGCTTAGCTCAAATCTCAGTACCTGGTAACAACTGGGAGGTTCCTGCTGTCTTGTGCCAATGAAAGCTGCACAAGATGCTCAGGCATGTAAGGAAAGAGCTAGAGCAGAGAACATGCTCGTGCCACTGTATCAGTTAATGGTACCGCAATGGTATCTGCAATATCCAAGGCAAGGCCACATCTCAGAAAGTTCAAAGAAAATAGTAAAAACAATCAGGACCTTACAAAAGTCTCTCATAGAACTGACTTTCAAAACTTGTGGAACTGTCACATGACAGAGATATCAACTTGAAGAAAAACAGAAAAAGAATCACAAGCCCTGGGAAAGAACATACATTGTCTTTGACTTAAGACCTGAAAGAAATCAGCATTAGCTGACCACCACTCATAAAAGTTCCCTTTGGGAGCTGGCACCAGGCTGCAAGAGGAAGCCCAGGGAGCAAACAGTAACACACCAGCACCAACAGAGATGATTTGAGGACAGATGGCAGGTCTGCAATTGCACTGGCAGTACCAAGATGAGAGGCTGTACACAGGTACAGAACAGAGCATCTGACCCCCAAGAACTGCTCCCAAGCATAGGACACTCTCAGGAATGATGAGTGAAATGATGAATGCATGAGGTCCTCTAGGAGAATTAAGTCAACTGCAGCAATGGAAACTGTCCCTTTCTCCCTATACTCTAATAAAAGTAGGAGCATGGGAATGCATTTTCTCCAGGTCTGCCTACCATTGACAAGCAGCTACTCAAGTGTAAAGGAATGGCCCAGCTTTACACCTACACACAGCTGCACTGCAGCCACGGACACCACCTCTGCAAGAGTAAGCTTTAGGTGAAGCACAGAAGGCATGTGCCAAATTGTGTTCACATAGAGTCGATGCAGGTGAAGAGCAAGAAGCCTTGTGCCAGCAGGACCAGGTGCTCACACTTAGCCTGCAGTGACTTTATTGTAAATAAGTAATCCCCTGCTTTACCAGCTCTCCTGAAACACTATTCTAAAATGAAAGAGGAGCAGCATTTTTTCCAACCAAGGCAGAACTTTAGATTGCTTAGAAATAATAAAAGCGGGCAGGCTGTGAAGAAATCACTCCTGCATATTACAGGAACTGTGGCACAGCATGAAATTATGGGCTCCTAATGGCCTCCATGAACACATAGGCATCTTCTGCTTGAACAAAATCTCTCATGCAGCTAAGTGAACATTGCTCTGTGGACACTGTTTTTGATTGCTAGTGAGTACAGAGGCCCTGTTGAATAGGAAACCAGACAAGCTGAGGAGAACTGGAATCCCTGCCCAGACAGTTTACAGTTCACACAGAGAAGGTGACAAAAGGGCGGAAAAGAGTCACAAAACACAAAGGATTGCAAAGAAAACATGTTGAGCCATCTTAACCACTGGAAGGGAAAGGCAACTTCTACTCTAAAAAGGAAATACTGGCTTGTCCTCTACCTTCTAAAAGTAGTCCTCAAGTGTCACAAGAACTGTGAGTTGTGCATCAAAACTTAAAAAGGAATTCCATATATGCAAACTTCAGTAAAAGATTAAATAAGAAAATAAGTTTAATTTTTATAATATTATATATATAACATAATATTATTCAGTTAGAGCTGTAGGAGAATTTGCAATCTTATTCATATCAATAAGCAACTTAGCCTTAGCCTAAAAATTATATTTTCTGTACATCAGAGTGACTGAACACCCTGACTTCACAGGGAAAAACTTCAGACATATTACAAATTTCCGTACCCAGGTGTGTTCAAAAGGTAACTTTTTCTATCCACAGGCAAAAGGTGCAAAATATCATAGAATGCACATAAACTACTGCTTAATTTCCAAATCTTAGCTTAAAATTGGCTAATAAGCTGCCTTTAGAAAGAAACATTCATATTTTTGTCACTTACGAACAGGTGGACTCCCTGTTATTAATTATGGATGACTGAGACAACATTCATTGGATGAAAAATCATCACGGTTGTCAAAGGAATTAGCTTTGTACTCTGAGATTTTTATGCAATTTTACTGTGTTTACACTTTACAAAGATTCTCAACCACAGCTGAGAAATGCTGAAGTTGTTACCAGAACGTACCAGTACCAACAGTTTTATACTCAGGCATTTTTTTTTCAGCAAACCCCTTGGCTTCATAAGAGGAACATACAGATAGCTTTCAAAACTCCTGTGACACCGAACTAGAACTCTGAATTTATAATTATAACTAATCTAATAGCAGACTTAAAAGAGCCCTGTTTGGACCTTTTTATGTCAGAGCATTAATTGTGACAAAAGATTATTTTTATCAGCTTGGAGATTGCAATCTTTCTCTGAAAGAAGATACTTCCAAGGACTCAGGGTTTACAAGCAAGCAGAAGCCCTCAAGACAGAACACCTCGTGTGTGTGTGTGTGTGTGTGTGTGTGTGTGTGTGTGTGTGTGTGTGTGTATACACACACACATAAGAGGAAGAAAAAGTATATACAACTGACAGATTGAGGATTTCACTTACTTAAAGCACCTAAAAGAAAATGGAGCAGCTTTGAAAATTCATCTCCAAGTGAGGATTGCAGAGTCAGCTTCTTCAAGATTAAACAACTTTATAAAGAAAGACATCATATGGTAGAGATTAAACTTACATTTCACCTGTTTGACTTCAGGTCCTTTCAGTAATTTGGCTAAATATATTTTGGCATTACTGAAAGCTGACATTATTTTACCATAGCCAACTCACAGAAGCAAGATGTTCTCTGAAGGGGGTCACATTTTTGTATTTTTTTCAAGACAAAACATACCCTTAAATCCGGAGAGAAGTTGTCTGCTGAGGTGGAGATGGAGTCCGATGACAAAGCAGAAGCAGATTTGGTGTGAGTGGAATGGTCCGACTGCGACGTGGAAGCGCTGTAAAGAGAAACACCAGAGTGTATCAAAACTGTGCCCAAGAAAGTTCAAAAGCTGACAGGTCCAACCACTCGCTCACAGTCGTATCAGGCATTTTTCACTATTCCTACCCTTTCCACTTTCAGCTATTCAGCCCTCAGCAATGCTTTAAGAGAACCTGTTCTCCCTGCCATTACCAGGGATTACCAAAGCGTACACAACTCATTATTAAATAGTTCAGCTCAGACTGAGCCAACACTAACACAACCATCAGCTTGTGCTGAGGAACACGCTCAGTGCCCAGAGCTGGTGGAGCAGCTGCAGTGGAGCTGAGGATGAGCTGTGTGTGGGGAGAGCCTGAGCCAAGAGGCCAGAACTGCCAACCCTTTGCACAGCAGAGGGCCTGGGTACCTGTGGCCCCGCCAGGTGACCGGACACTCAGAGACATGGCAGGAGCCAATGACCCCCAGACCTTCCTGCATTTAGACCCTCAGGGATTCCTTTGTCTGGGGTCCCTCCTTGAAGACACCAGCTCAAGCTGATATTTTGCTAATTAGTTATTGTACCATAATTAAATTATTTGAAGGACTGGGATGTCTAAGGCTCTGCTGTGGGAAACCTGGGCTTGAGACAGCACAGAAACTTGGTCTGTCTGCGAGTGTGGGGCATGTAACTACAAAAGGGCTTTGGTCCCAGCTCAGGTGGTGAGAGAGTGACTGTCAGACTGGCTCCTGGATGGTTGGATGGAGAAGTTTCCTTAGCACTGGATCAAGTCCTAAATTACAGAAATGAAGGGCCTCCATTTCAGCCCTTCAGATGGGAGATATTAGTGTGCTGCAAAGGGATGAAAACAGACAGACTCCTGAATGCACGCCAGCACAGCTCCAACCGCAGCTGTACAGCGGTGGAAGAAATTCAGAATTAAAACGCTTTGCATCGCACACAACTTTTCTTCTTCAAGGAAACGTACAAAGCTGAGGAGAATTAAAAAGACTCTCCCAGCATATGTCTCTGGTGATATAAAGTGCAATTCGCTAAATAACAAAGCAAAACAAAAATGTTCCTTTTCTAAGTTTTTCTAATACAGCTGTAAACAATTAAAATTAAGCTTATATTTTACAGCATTTTATTCTGCAACCTCTCCTACAACCCTAATTGCTTAAAATTAGCATTCAAAACTAAGGCTTCTAAAACCCCAGATGACTGTAAAGAAAGCTCCTATGCGGTACAATGCTATTGCCTGAAGTCACTGTAAGGAGATAAATGCTACCTGTGCCAATTAATTCCCACACTCTTACCGACCCCAGAAAGGTTTTAGCTGGCTATAAAGACACTCCTAAAGATCAGCTATCAGACTTGGAAGCCTAGCCTTGACCAAAGCAGAATACCAGCAGGAGTATTACTGTTACCACTTATATTAATTAGACATGTGACAACCCAGAAATAGCTGCATCTGAGCTTCCAAAGGGCCTGAAGATTTGGTAATTGTCTGAAAATTGTTTTGCTGCTGATAAACAGCCACCAAAAGGCCAAAATGTTCCATTTTTATTTCTATTCTTTGGAGCTTGGCAAAGTATTGCACAGGGAGCGTTAAAAACAAAAACGACTACAGGAAAAGTAGGCTCTTGCTGGGAGTTAGTCCTGTCTGTTCAAGATTTAAGGAGCACTGGCACCACTTTCATCCTGTGAAGTAGAAACTTCAAAATGGAACCTTTAGGAACAGTAAAAAGTTATTTAAAATAAATGACACTGGTGTGCCAATCGATTAGCAAAATTCCACTGAATGCACTTGCTGTACAAGGTTCAACAGCAGAACTTTCAGCTTTCCAGCGTGCTCAACTCCTGTGGTGTTGCCAGGTAAACTCACATAACTCTGGGTGGGCAGTGGCACTTGTGCATACAACTCATGCCACAGCCACCCTACAGTCTCTGTTGAGGCAGAAAATTACCTTACACTAAACCAGCAAGAACTGAATCTGCAAAACCTCCCATTCTTGTGAATTAAAAGGCCTCATATAAGCACTGTATTTGTGTACAGTTTCACATTACAACAAAATTGATATAAAGTTGTTGCTGCTGCTACTGATGGGCTGCTCACATTCCCCTCTCCTCTCAACCCAGACTGCACACTGCTGCCATCTCCTTGTGCTGGATGGGCATCATGGGATGCACAGTCCAATCTTCAGATCTGACAGGGCAGTAAACTATTAATAAACATGAAGAGAGTCTTCTGTTGGGTAACAAGGCTGATTGGATTCATTACATGGCTATATAAATCATCAGATGCAGCACACAGAGAGGGAAGGATTCTGTATCTGGAGATGATGAGGAAGGCTGAGAACACTTTGCGCACAGCAGCCTGCAGGCATGCTAAATTAGGCTTAGCACTAAACCACATTTTTACATTACTTTACTTAAATGAGCTCAAACCCTTTATGTGTTCCCTTGAAACTTCTTTCAGCCTGGTTTCTGCACGGTCAGTCTTCATTTTCCAAGTGTTCACCCTCGTGTTTACAGCCGCTTAATTAACTTGATTTTTAAAAGCATGTTAAAAAAGATCCCAAACCACTTAATTTAATCATTCCACAGAACAGTACCCATTTACTGTACAGCAACCTATAAGGAGATAGTACTTAGAGTGTATTTTAAGGTATTGAAAGGTAGTTAAAGTTTTCAATGACGAGCAAGCAGATACTGTAGATGCCTTTATCATTGGGTGACAAGCCTGACTCCTGTCCCTTGGGACCCCACTGTGCCTTCTCCCACAACGGCTCCAGCCGGGGGAGCCAGAGGCTCAGGGTAAGCCTCCAGAAGCCATGCCTTCTAGCTCCCTCCCATTTCAAGGCCCACACTTTTGTGTATTTAAATGCATTTTAAAGGTCAGCAGCTCTGCTGAGTTTACAAATCCTTTAGCATAGGTGTAACTACCTAAGCCAGGGCACACCAGCAGCTGACCTGACCCTGTAGCACATACAGGACAGCTTACTCAACCGAGCAAAAACTGCAAAATCACAATAACCTACTGGTAGAAGCATTTGCATCAAAAATTTAACATCCTTTAGAGACAAAAAAGGGAGCTGGAAAGACTGGACAGGTTTAGCAGAACATGCTAGTCTCTCTGTCCCAAAGCTAGGAGGACAAGATAGACCCAAACAACTCCCAAGAGCTGTCTGTCTAACCTGCTCTGAACAGCTCCCATGGAGGGAGAGTGCTAACAAAAGGATCAAAATTTCACCAGGTTTTCTGCTGACACAACTTGTCTGCCCGTGTACATTGCCAGTGACTGCTTAATACACAAGCAGCAATTATCTAATGATTGTAGACCAAAGATTTTTATGAAATTGTTAATTAATTTCACTTTGCCAAACTAAGGGGCAAACAGCATTATGTAGGGGAAAAAGAAAAGGGAAAAGGGGGGAGAACCATAATCCACAGCATGTCTGAGCTGTGAAAGTGTTTTGTGTATGTTGATCACACTTGGCTTCAAGTGGCTGTTCAAGAAGGAAAGCATTTGCATTTTAGAAGTGGATTTTCAAAATCTCCTGCACCAATGTCCCTGAGCTCCTGCAGAAACCACCAGTGAAGCCTCCCTCCAGTGACAGCAGTGGGAGCTTTTGGGAAGCCACGCCTGCAGACACATTGAACAATACCCCTGGATTATGCAGCTCAGCACAGTATGCATAGGTTGCATATTTGGCTCACTACCACTGCTCTCCTCATCTGCCATTTCCAGGGAGCTGAGATGGAAGGAAGGAGCAGACAGCAGAAAGGCCGCTGGTGTGCTGCTCCCTCCTCATCGTCAGGCAGCTGCACAGCTCCAGCTCCACTGCTTAGCAAACTAATTAATCTGATATCCCTACATGCACATAAGAAGTTTATTAGTTTCAGTGGTTTAGTCAATCTTAGCTCCTCTTTGCTGCCAATACAACAGTAAAGATCCTCAAACCACACAGTTTCATATGGCTTTGGGTGGGGGAGAGCAGGAGAGCATCCTGGCACACAAACTCAGAGTGAGGACACCAGAGCTCCCTCCATGCTTTGCCACCAGCCCTTCTGCATCATCTCAGGCAAATCATTTACTTGTGCTTCTGTCACGGCTTCTGCACGTTATCCCAGCTTTTGCCAATGTAAAGTTAAAGCTGTCTCGTGCAGCACTTTTGGCAGCCTGACAGGTATGTCTGGCATCAGTTTAATGTGCTGAGGACCCCAATCAGGACATTCTGTTCTCACAGGGACAAACCCCCAACAGCTGCATTTCACCATTAAGGCAACACAGAGCAGACCTGAGGGATGGCCAGGGCATGATGGGCACATCTAAATGCTGGGTTGGGGGGCACCTGACAAACATCTGAGAACACAGGTAGGTTTGGACAGATCTCAGCCAGGGATAAAAATCACTAGAGCTGTGCCAGTCACTGCTAGCTACAATACTACTTAAACATGCAAAATTACGGTATTGTCTCTGAACCTCATGAAGGTTCTGCAACACAACATATACTCAGATTCACAAAATACTTTGAGCTCTGCCTACAGGAAAATAAGTGAGCTCCTTTGAGGAACCAGGGAAGACCAAGGACCTCCTTGAGCTTTACTCTTCCCCATGCTTCAGGCCCAGACAGCTCTTCATTGTCCTTGTTGATGGATATCTGTGTTAAGTACAAAAAGAGACCCCTTCAACAGGTCAAAAGCACCATCACGGAAAGCATCTTACTCCTGTGACTGCCATCCCTATTTATACCTCTCGTCATTCCTCCCCAATACAGAAGCAGGAAACAGGTCTAAGTTACAACTAACACTGATCTGTGTCTTTCATCTTGGTAATTATTTTTATTCTTTAAATGTTTTTCTTTATAGCCAGATTTTGAATGAGTCCAAACGTGAGCTGTCGGCACAATGGTTTTATACAATATCTGCACACGGTAGCAACCCTTTGGCTATATGGAATACATACATGCAACTAATAAGAGTATTACACTGGAAACCGAGCACAGTGACTCAACTCCTGATAAAGTGTTCATTGT